TGATATATCTATAAACTTAGACGAGTGAAAATGGATAAGAAAAATTATTAATTAGATTTATCTCTTAAATCACCGTTCTATAATTATAATTGACGTTTATGAAATGTGGTGCTTTGCAATGTATAATCTCATCATTCATTCAATTAGTTCGCAAATTCTCAATATCATCTAATGCGTCGTATATTCAAATTCGCAATTTCTTGAACAACAGGATTACAGCCATTAGCCATAATACATAAGCCACGGCACTTGAAATCGTAATTGAAGGAATCGTAATTAGCAATAGAGTGATTCTCGCGAGCAGGTAGATGGATTTGATCGATTGAGTGGCGTAATGGGAGATAGATCCATCGTTACGTGTATCATTTTGCCAAGTAACGCAGTTGATAAAGTTGTAAGACTTGAGAATGTGAGAGCCTGTAATTATTAAAAAAATTGCTCCGCTGATATGTTAAATTTTATAGAGAATTATAGAGTTAAAGATCATTGGATGATCTACGTAATATATCTACTTAATACTTATGCCTATTAGATATTGTAATCAGAGTTTGGCGAGATTAAAATGAAGTAACTAAAAATTCGGTCCCCATTGCATGTTACTATTTGTTTGTTCACAATATAAACTAAAATAATATTTGCATTTTATGATTATTGAGAATGTTCGCAGAGTTATTGTATCGCAAGCAATTAGCAGGATAATTATTTTTCATTTTAATGACCGTTGGAATAAATGGATGTCGTATATGCCAACACAGCGTTAATGAAATTACGATATTATTTGTTAGTACGAGTGATTTATATTTTTATCGTACATCTCTAGTAGAATGAAATTCTGTGACAATGTTAGTAAGATGTCGTTACAACACAGACTCAATGTAGTCATTTTCTCATTTTATATATGTTTCATTATATATGTCAATATGCTCGTGTATTTCTATGCGACAGTTCAAATCGTTTTATATCTTATAAAGCTTTTAACTTTAATTTTGTTATGTTTTACACGTAAATGCTTGAGAATAAAAAAAAAAAAAAAAAAAAAAAGGAAAATTAAAAAATCACACGTTTTTATTTATATTTTTTTTTTTTTTTTTTTTTTTTTTATTTTGTCATTTGCCGTGTATAATTACTTTAAAATGTTTGTTTTAACATACTAATTAGCGTAGATTTTGGTTTTATGCGTAATGCTAATAATTTACTTATTAAGTCTATTAGCTTTAGATCTTTAAAGAGTTGGTTAATTTTTATTTCTGTAAATATTTCTCATAGACCGTGCAGAAAATGGTACATGGCATTTCACAAGCATCGCGTTTGCGATTACGTGACTAAAATTTATCTTCCTATTCAAGAACTCATGTAATACGATGAGAAATTACGTCGTGAAGATATTTGGAGATTGAATTTTTATTTCACGATACAATTCACCACTATAATTTACATTAATGCCGCCTCCCTTCTCATAATATTAGAAGTTTTTGTGACTACAAACGCCACTCGTGGCAATCAAATTTACATCCGCTTCTAGCCATGAAAAATCATACGTTAATATAATAACCGAATGAATTGGGTAGTCAAAGTAGTCGATGGGTAAATGATTCAAAGAAGCAATTGGCAACAAAGTTCAGCCTCCTGTAATTGCAATACGAGATTCGTTACGCACGGGTAGCGCAAACTCGATTGTTTGTAGGCGAGACACACGTGCTTCATGTCTAGTGCACATGTGTTGCCGGGCACGGAATTATCGCGTGTTGACGATAAATTAACGATTTCTAGTTCTAGCTGGTGTAACTTGTGCATCCGCGAGCCTTTATCAGTTGAATTATATAGGTGTTGAATTAGCGTAATTAAAAGGTCGGGCGGCAACTTGTTCGGCTAAACTTGAAACAGGCGTTTATTTACCCGCAACCATTAAAATTCATTTAATCTATAAATTCTATCGCATTTACTTCAAGTGCTTCAAATTTGTTATTTCAAAGCTTAATTTGAATTTATTAAAGTGACGTGGTGAATGTCAATGATTTTAGGAAACAACTTATACATTTTAATAAATAAATTTCGACGTCGAAATATAACGTATAAGACATATGCGCCTCCGTCAAGGAAATTACGTTGAACCTAATCGACGAATGAGAGAATTTACATACAGCCACCTTCCATTTAGTCTGTTTAATGAAATTATCTTCTTCTTTTTTTAAGCATAAATTATGAATTATGAAAAGTTAATTAATTGAATGATTGATGCAAAGGGGGCGAGAAGTTACTGAGAACGTTGAAGCTCTTAATATATATATATATATATATATATATATATATATATATACGTTATTTAACAACTTTTAAAACGTGTTTCAATAATAATCAAGTGATCTTGGTCAATTTACCCCGTTAGCGATGGTATATCAAAATTATTTGCACGCTTTGCAAGTTAAGGTATCGTTAGAATTTCGTAAGTATCACCAAAAGAAGAAGAAGAAGAAGAAAAAACAAACAAAACAAAAAAAAATTCCAATTGGCCACGAGACAATTAATTATACGAATAAAAATGACCATTCGCTCTATAAATATACATGAACAATTAAATTATTCAATATGAAAGCAACAAAATTCTTAACAACACCTTGAACGTGTTGATACGACAAACAGATAATACTCGCTTGAATATCAAATGAGGCATTGCGAATAAAATTTAATTTCCAGTTCACCAAGTTAATTCTTCCGCACACTCATTGATTTTATCTCATCGTCTGAGGTCGCATCGCCCGCACGTAGCAATTCAAATTGCCTTCTAAAAATACTCGAAAGCTCTATCATGGGGCTCGACTGCTTTTTCGACCTTCGAGGACGAATTTTCGTTATAGAGTATTGCCGAGTCTTGCAGATATAATCGTATTAATATTAGTCTGGATCAAGGATATCATGTGTTCTCGCAACAATAATCGCGGCTATTTATGAGTTGGGAAAACTTTTCCCTAAACTTCCGATTATTTTCCTTTATGATATCATTTAACTATTGAGTATAGGAGTATAGGACAATGAAAGATGATACAGGAATGAGGGCTGATTATATATACACGAGACATTACATTTTGTAATTTAATAAAAAATAAAAAAAATTTTATACGTAATTGATTTTTGCGAGAATATGTATGGAATAAAGGTTAAACAGCAAGTCAAATCACAACGCGCATAAATAATCTTTTTTTGTTTATTTCAAATATTATCTTTACTCAGCACCAAAGCGAGGCATATAAAAAGTTCTTTTATTTTATTTTCTTTTCTTTTATTTATTTATTTATTTATTTATTTATTTCTTTTTTTTTTTTTTTTTTTTTTTTTGTAACGACGTGCATGATATTTCTAGGGTGAGAAAATTAGATCAATATTTATGCGCGGCGGAATAGGGAACCTTTTTCTCTGTTTCGATATTTCGATATTTCAATTTGAAGGCCCTTTACGTACCGTAGCGACTTTCCGACATTCGGCAAATATTCAATCCCGTGAAAGGAATTGCAGCCACAGGTTGACGACCTCCGTAAAGAAGAAACTTGGGTTTCTTTTTTTCACAGACTTCCGGTTCTGCGCTTGTAGCATGCGAGTATACGAGGCACCTCAACTTGAACTTTATTTTCAGCCTCACTATTCTTAGTTATAGAAGAGTAATATACATTTTACTTGTTGTCTCGAGCTAAAAAATTTGTAATTGCTATTTTTGCATTGCAAAGGGTACGTCGTACACTCGGCTATGTCCTCCATATATCTACATAAATTATATTATCAATGTCGTTGAGCAATGTTACTACTTTACTTAATGGAACTCTTGTATACATAATAAAAAGTCACTGTATCGTAATATTTTAACAAACATGTTCGACATTGAAATAATAATCATAATCCATGGATTAATTTTCACAAACGACTCATAATTCAGCGTGAAAAAATATTTTTTGACAGATCCAATTGGATTATTTTTAATATCATATCAAGCCTTATAGATTTATCAGTCTTATATTTTGCTTCGTGGAATGTTGTTATGGATATTTAATAATGCGAGACGGTTAGCGAATGATTTAACGATTTAAAATAATACTTTATGTATTAACTTGAGCGTCCGTATGTAGAGTTGTTTATGTAATATTAATTGATTATTTAGTTTGAATTTTTTTTTTCCATTAAAATTATTCTTATTCGCAAAAATATTTTACAGTTATTTTTGGATGCTATCGAATTTCCTCAATCAATATATTATAAATGACATTATTTTATTGCTTTAACATTCGCTCGTCTTTTAAATCATGAAAAACGCAAAGACTTATAATAACAAACAAAGTAAATAAGTAAAAAAAAATATTAATTTTTTTTATGAAATTGCAGTCTCATGTACATTTATTACGCAGACATTAATACCTTAGCAAATTTCCATAACACCAATTAATTATTTATGTTGGAATTAATCAATTAAATTTTTGTTTGTTTGTTTGTTTGTTTTTTAACGAGTTTACGTCTCGTTAAGTAAGCTCCTTACTCGGATCTCAAAATTATTGTAAAAGTGATCAGTTTGCTTTATTAGACGACTTACGATTATTTACCGAGAACCCTGGAGTCAGCATTGCTCATGAATTATGAAATATAATTACCAATATAATGCTTACTTATTATGTATATTCCAAGAAAAACTTTTTATCAGGGATTTTTCTTATTTTTGTGCGAGACCTATATTATTTTTGAATGACTGGTACTGCAACTCGTAACTGAAACCTTGATGAATGAGTCATTTAGTCAAGAATGGGAACTTTTTCAGTAGAAATAACTGACCGATTTAAGCGTGTAATAATAATAATATAAGTCTTGCTATAATGTAATAATATAATATTGGTTGGCATGAGATTTTTCCCTTTTTATACTAATGAAAACTGATTAATCGCATTATCGACGACAATTAACGCTCGGCACGTTTGGGATGATTGCTGGATAAAACGCACTAACCGTCCGCGCGCAATGTAAAGCCGGCATCACACGAGCAGCAGCGAGCACCGGACATCCACCACCTCCAAGACGGAGGGTTGGGACAGTAGTAGCAAGCCCGAGGCATCAGGGGTGCCCCCGATGAGATCTGCCTTCGACAGCTTCAAAAGGTGACACTGAGTAGTCGAGAGAGAGAGAGAGAGAGAGAGAGAGAGAGAGAGAGAGAGAGTGTGTGAGAGTGTGTGAGAGAGAGAGAGAGAGAGACTCTGTGTGTACGTGTGTGTATGCGCGCGCTTTTATGTTGTGTGTGCGTGTGTAGTGTGTATGTATGCGTGAGTAGAGTATGATAAATAAATGAAATAAGCGAGCCACCAGCACAAATATCTGACGACCAGAGAGTCTTTTTCAGCTTTATTGCACTCGTACACATTATATGCACGCACGCACGCACGCACGCACGCTCGCACGTATTCACTCACTCATGCATACCTTCACTCACTTTCTCACTTTGCCTTGCCTTTACATTTAATCGTCTTTGTTGCATAATCAAGGAAGGAAAATGTTACTTTTTCTTTTCCATTATGATGGTTGCGCTTATGCTTTCTATGGATACTATATACGGTTTTATACTGTACAGAAGTCTTCGTTTTTCTTTTGGTTTTTGTTTTGGTTTCAAGTGCCCATGATTGATCCATTCGATGTAAATACTTGGCCATCTTTTTTTTTTATACAATCATTATCCATTCTCTCATATTATGTTCATTTTTCGTTATGTATCGCCATTATTTATGTTGCTTGATTTTAATTTATTACAGTTACCATCATTAATTTTCATATTTAGCTTACGATGTATACGACGTTGTGCATTTATAAAATTTGCATTTGGTAAAACTGCAAGTACTTAATGTTGCAGTATGACGATCGATTTTATCAATCAAATGTTTATGCCTAGTGCCTTTACATGTAAGCTTCACGTACCTTTAGTGAACAATATTTTAGTGATCGTTCGTTTTAGCTTATGTCCAAGAATTTGATTTTCTTTCTTTTTTGTTTTAGTATATTTATAAAAGAGTGGCGATCACAGAATGATGTTGGCTTGAAATTAAACTGTACGATTACATAAGCCATTTGCATGACCTTGACTTAAAGTTTGCACAGATTTTACAAGGCTGACAACCATTAATTAATCATCCGCGGTAATTGATAAACTATAAATAAATAAATAAATTGAAAAACGAATGATTTCACGATGCATAAAATTCATCATAATGCAATTCATCGTACCTTTTATTCGTGGATATATATGCAAAATTTTCATTGATTAAACAAACGGCGAATTGTGCTTGAGAGAAGCAAAATCATTATTGTGTATCGCTATTTTTTTATTGTAAAAAAAAAAGAAAAAAAAAAGACTCGTAGGAATTTAGTGTGAGCTTTATTAAGTGCTAAGATTAAAAATCGCAAATATTATGAAAGTGTAGGTACACCTTGTTGTAGATATATATATATATATATATATATATACGCAGGAGAATCGAAAAGCAAAAAGTGCACGACGAATGCTACGTATAACCAACGCACGCAGCATTCGCAAGGCAAATCACGTATGTGACTTATCAACTGCGGATTCTCGATCGACGTGCGATCGAACTCGCCAAGACTGCAACTCTTTAAGGAGCGCGTCCCGGGAAATTGTCTTGGCTAACTTTCTTCCCTCTGCTTTGCGATTGCAGCACGACGACACAGCAGCAGACGAGCCAGAACAGCTCGCTCAGTCCCCAGCATGACTCCAGCACTTGGCTGGACGGTCTCAACAGTCCTCTAATCCAGGACGAAGGTGACAACAAGAAGCTCAAGCTCAGATTCGACGTGTCGCAGTACACGCCCGAGGAGATCGTCGTCAAGACCGTTGACAATAAGCTTCTGGTGAGTAATGGGTATGATAAAGTATCGATGAGATTCTTTTGTGGACGAAAATGGTTTATTGGCCTTTTCTTGTTATTGCCGGGATTTTATTTTCATCGTTCGCCTGACGTCTCATAATACTTAGGGATAAACTTTGAGCAAATATTTTAAGAATTTTAGTAATTCAAGTTCCATTACGTCTGTCTATTTAATTAAATGCTAAAGATTTTACATCTTATTATATATAATTATAGAAGAAAAATTACAATTGCTTTAAACTTTGCATTAATCCTTGTAATATATAAATACAATAATTATAAAAGTTCTCCTTTTCAAGAAAAAAAAACAAAACAAAAAAAAAACAAAACAAAACAAAACAAAACAAAACAAAAAAAAAGACAAAAAACAAAAAAAGCTTACGTTAAGTGAAATTAAATTATCAATTATTGTGTTTAAAATTCTCATTAACTATATATCTTATCCGTATAGTGTAGGAAAGGAGGAATTTGATACAACGTTCGTTCAAATACATTCATCCTATCGTAATTCCATTCGTATTCCAAAACACACGTACGTTTACATTTCTCATTAGAAGGGGAACAATACGTCTGGATTCTATATGAAGTTGTGTCCGTAGTTCAAACATAAAATATATATACGGAGGTGTGCATTATTTACGTTTCTCGTAATCTACGTTTGAGAACGAAAGGGTGAAAATGGGAAGATATTTAGCGTATTTAGAGTACATTCATTTTATGCGTATTGCGCAAAATTGGTATTGACAGTTTCAATATTTATAATACCGAGTCGTATTTTTCTTTTACATAATATTTAGTTTTTTCTTTCTTTATATATATATATATATATATATATATATATGATTATCGTGAATTAAATTGTCGTCTACAATTATTTATTAAAAACAAAAACAAAAAAAAGCTGTTCTTTCCCGTATCTTTCTATTCACGAATTTGCATCAATCTTATTTATATAGATATAATTAGACTCTTTGAAACACTTTATATTCTGAAATAATATTCATCATTAAGAAAGTATGAAAGAAAGTTAAAAGTCATGCTGAGGAAATATTTTGACAAAAAAATAAATGCTCAACCAAAATTCGGATTTATTTATAAATTCTTGGGCAATATGCGTAACCGTCTACCTTCGGTAATAAAATAATCAAATTCATTTCCAAATATATAAATATAAATTTTTATTATTTCCTTCAACCTACAAAACCTTTTCTCATACACACTTGCTAGTAGAATGAGATATTAAATAAATACTTAATGTCCTTCATAATCATTATATATATATATATATATATATATATATATATTAATACAATAAGATTATATAATATACTGTATTAATATAAAATAATGAAATATATATGCGTGAGAAAGAAGGGTCAGAGAACATTTGCCATAAGAAGATATCTAGGGAATTTCGTAGCTATACGGTCGATCGAACAAGAAATTGTGCACTGCTTTGATACGTCGTCGGATCAACATTCCACGATTCGAGAAACCACAAGAGAATTTCATCTCTGCGTACTCGGGTCTACTACTTAGACGCCCGAAATAACTCGATCCAAAAATAAATAATGCTTACCGCGCCACATTGACGCTTAGGGATTGTATCGGTATAGTGTGGCGAGCGAATGAGAAATTCATTGCATTTAAGATTGCAAAAAAGAGGGAGAAATATGCTGGAATATGGAGTTAATTTTAATTTAACTGTGTATAACAAAATAAGTAAAGGAAGTAAAGTGAGTTTTAGTTTTTTTTTTTGTTTTTTTTTTTCATTCATTTTGTCCACCTTCTCGTCTCTTGCGATGCAAAATGAATTTAATCACAACGTGATATGTCGTTACACGAAACGTTTTGGTGCTTTTGTATGAAATCATAAATGGTGAGAGATTTTCTAAGTTGATGGTGTTCAATGCGAGCTCAGATTTAACGCTAAAATAGATAAACATCGAAGTAGAGTATGTCAAATTTTCCTAGAATAGCACTCGAAGTGAGAAAATCGTGAGTATTAAAAATTTTCAAGAAATTTGAGTTTTTCCTTTCAATCGCAATATAACCATTGGATTTGGAAATTACGAGATTTATATTGAAATATAGTTAAATGTAATGGTTGAATGGTTGAAAGAATCAATGTAATGACTTCAAAAGGAAATAACAACACGAGCGTGCATTCTAATATTTGGCATAAATATTGTCGTTATGCACCTGCCGAGAGAGGAAGCAGTTAAACGGTTAAATTCAGATAAGTAAGAGATTGATTCTTTGGGCAATAAAAATGCTCATATAGCACAATGGAAACGAAGAGAAGAGATAATAGGCAAGTGTTTTAGCTTGTCCGTTGCCTTCTTTTCCGTTCCGCAAGAAGGAGAAGGGTCGTTATACTGTACGGAAATGAGCCGCGCCTCAATTACTTCTCCATGTTAATTCCATGTTAACCAAGATTGGCATCTCCTCCTTCTCCTCCACCTCCCCCCCTCCCTCCCTCCCACCCTCCCTGCCACCGGGCATTAGGCATCTGTCCGAATAAATCTCATGCTCGACAAAAATTTTAACGATCGCGTACTTTATACTGTTCGTAAGCAATAATTGTTCCCCACCTCTTATACACAAACGATCTTTATTTTCTCTATTACAGTGCGTTTGCCGATCGAATTAATCGCGATTTTTTCGAGCGTAAAATGAGATTTATCGATAGTGAAAGATGTCACACTTATACGTCTCGCGTGCATTTAATTCTCCAGAGTCTTATTTAAGATATTTCCATCATACGTATTTGAAATGCAAAATTGAAATAATACACTGTTCGAGCAGCGTGCAAATTAATTTATTACATAGGCCATTAATACAAATTAATAATTAATCCTGTAATATTTATTTCAATGCTTGATTATTCAGAGCTGAGAACAGCATCGGGATATTATTACGATATTACACATAATGCGTGGCTTTATAAATTTTTACGAAGAGTCTTTATTTATTTATTTTTTTTATCTCGATTTCTCGATATCTCGATCAAACGTAACTCATGGGCCGGGATCGGGGGTCGATGCTTTTAACGAGCGAATGGAAAATGGCCGTAGGAGAGTTACTGAAAGTTGGACAAGTATCGCGCGAAGTTGGTTACCAGGTAGGTTAGCCTTCGTTACCGCGTTTTATGTAATCTAGATTTCCTTGCAAGGTGCGAGTAATTTGGTCAAGGCCCGTGCGTCGACGTCGAGCTCGACCATTCGGTCCTTTAAAGGGTTCGCTCGAGGACGCGCCACACGAGAGTCGAAGTGGAGAATGAAATGACGAGTAAAAGGAATGTCTTTTGGCTACGAGGCTGCTCATGGGAACGGGTGCAGTTTGTCTTACGTCATCGACGACGCTTACTCTTTGGGGGAGATCAGCTCCGCCGCTGTGACACACGAGGTCCTTATTTCCCCTCCATTTCCTATTAATCGTATATTTGCGTATTATGCTTCTTTAGTTCAAACGTCATATGTATTTGGAGTGGATTCAATTCGTAAAATTGTATATTGTTAATTACGCGCTTTTTCCCTGTCAAAAAAAAAAAAAAAAAAAAAAAAAAAAAAAAAAAAAATAAAGGAGAGATATTATTAAAACGTGATATTCCTTTTAAATTTTGTCTTTACATTTTCAAAAGCCAATGCTTGAAAAATATTAAGTTGTTAACGATGTTTTTAATTGGTTCCTCCTAGTACTGCGAGCGTGAGTTTGGTCGAATTTCTTAAAACACCATAAGCTTAAAATAATCATTAAAGCACATTGGAGATTTATATGTCATTTATATTGACTTTCTCTTACGGACCATCGGTGCATATTAATAGTTTACAGAACCATTCCTGGTGCGTCGCATTCTGGTGCGTCAAAATTTCATTGAATTTTAAATACCATCAAATAAGCTTTATACGAAACATATAAGCACGTACTTAAAATTTCTCCTCAATTACAATATTGTCTGGAGGATTCCTTGGGCGTTGGCCGCGATTTTAATGACTATTGTCACTTGTATACGATCGCCAACTAATAATAATCTTCCGAGTTGGATAAGTTATGGAAGACGATTGGGGAAGCGAGTTAACTGTATGAGTAAATAGAGTTTGTGGAGAGGAGGAGTATCCGTCGCCGTTTTCAAACTATCAGCGCCTCGAAATTCGCCGTTAAAAGTTCTTTAGACTCGTCGTACGCGTCACGATGAAAATTCCACCGACTACATGATAATTCGTCGTGCAGTGTCGATGCGTGGGATGCGTATGCGTTACGGGCGGAGAAGTGACGTGTTTATATTTAGTCGGCAACTCGAGAGTGAGCCAGCGTTATTTCGGATGAAACGCGCGGCGATGACTCGCGGCAAATAATATCGGACGAGCTTGGAAATATATTCATCCGTCATACGCTTTTTCTTCGTCGATCATTCATTTTTATCCCTCTTGCGGCGCCCAACAGCTCCTCGTTCTTTCTCTCTTTCATTTGTCGGATATAACCAATATAACGGATATGAGGATTGAAAATTCTGTCCTTCTCGAAGAAGCTGATTGATATTTTTGCCCTTAAGTACGGAGTGCGAATGAGGTATGTGCCTGTTCGAAGATTAATCTGATGTAAAATTCACGGTCGATGAGTACTAATTCGTTAAAAATTAACGCCCGGATTATATAATTGTCATTGTTGTATTTGTATTGGGGGTGGGGGGGGGCGACGGTGGAAAAATCTAAAAACAGAGCATCATCATCGTCTCATCTTCTTTGCTTAATGCTTCATATCGAGGTCAAACGTATTTCAAGAGTCGAAACAAATTTCAAATGCAAAACTGAAATATCGTTATAAATAGGACAATTTGCAATATTTGCAAATACCTCCTTAAATATGATTATTTATTTAATCTGAAGAGATCACTATAGATGATACAGTTTTATAAGAGGTGGGCTTATTATGTATGAAGGAACTATTACCGCATTATAAAATTAATTTTCAACAAATGCA